TAGATTTCAGATGGTAACAATATTCAATTCAATTAAAATCAAAGATACATTTTATTGACCATTTATTAAAGTATAGTATATGAAAACGCAACAAAAAGAATAGCATGAAGCACATACTAAATTCCATTGTTTCAATTACAAGATCATGTTGCAATCATGAATATATCACCATAAATGGAAGAAAGAGAATATAGCAAAAAGATATTTTGTTAGTGGAAAGATAGCAAAACAATAATATTTAGGCCTATGATAAACCGATTCACGAACTAAAATATATAGGGCCTAGGCATATTAAATTTTTCGTTTTCGCAACTCCTTCGGCGCTCCATATATTTGTTCGAAATATACCGCGACCGAAACGAAGCGCGACCGAAACAAAGCGCGACCGAAACGAAGCGCGACCGAAATGATCGGCTACCCCTGCTGTAGGCTAACAATTTTACCAAACTTAATAGAGATTGAAATAATAATTATTAAATTTTGGTTTTGAATAAAGTCAAAAAACGCAAAAAGATCTAGGCCTAACAAAAAAAAAATGACAGCAGTAGAAGGGTCCACCCATCAGTAGAAGTTGGCTAATATCAAGAATGATGTGATTGAAATTAGTTTATATATAGCCTCCTAATGTAATATGTGAGATTTAGGACTGAATAATTACTCTAGGCCTAATGTTTGTATATTTTGTTGACTAATCAACATTGTAATTACCGTAAATCGGCCTAGGCCTACCTGAACTTGAAACATAATAATATTTTAGTGTGTCTGATGCAAAGGTATGGCCTGGACATTTGAGAATTTTTTGGCGCGTAATTATAAAATGTGAGTTGTCGCGGCAAATAACACTGATCAGTCAGGAATGATGGGATAATCCGAATGATGATGGGAGACGAAAAAAAAAAACATAAAAAGACCTAGCCACAAACACAAAGGCTAGGATAAGTTAATATTTATTGTTTTAAACCACTACTAGAAATTAACTTACCTTACCGCCTCTATGTAACTTGAAGAAAAAGTCAGGAATTACGGAATTACGGATGATGCGGAGTCAAGATGTGTAATGCGTCGATGGTGGCAAGCGTTTTATTATACTCTTTGGTCCAACTTAAATTACACGTGATAAGGTAGGTGTGATGCAGTTTCATCATCATCGGATCCCACCAATCACAGTCCTGTAAAGTAAAGAGATAAATCATGTCAGTGATCCAGCTGCTGACATAGGCCAACTGTTGATCTATCTAATTTATCTACATGAAATTGATTATCCTCTGTGTATTCGTCACGAAATTGTTTATTCTTATTTATTCATTTTTTAAGAAAAAGCCTGAGAAAGTCCTATAGAAAAGATACTGACATTAAATGTAAAAAAAAATACAAGTACAGCTGTAAAATTCACAAAAAATTCACAAACGTTCAAAATGTTATCAAATGTTATTTCTAAAAATAGAACCAACAAATCTTATAATATGCACCATGCGCAATAGGCATGAGCCTGGCCAAATTTTGTACTGACTCTTATGAAAAAGGGTGTAGGTAGCAAATTTGGATTATTTATGTTAAAATGGTCACAAATGGATGGTTCAGCCTTACTAAATACTCATTTAAAATACCTATTTTTTTTTTCAGTATACTCCTCAAAACGTTGTACAACGAATGTTAATCCAAATAAGAGAGGGGTGGCCGTCAGCGGTGGTGCCAGAAATTTGCCGACAAGGGGTCCGACAAGTCCCGACGGAGAAGTCCGAGTCCGAAGGGGCAGACGAAGCCTCGGTCGACAGCCCGGAGTAAAAAAAAAAAACCTCTTTTAGGGTTAAGAGAGTTTTTATGGATAGCGGTGCTTTTAAACCAAAATATTAGCCCGGAATTGGCAGTCAAAATAACGTTATTTGGATAATAATAATAATAATAATAATAATAATAATAATAATAATAATAATAATAATAATAATAATAATAATAATAATAATAATAATAATAATAATAATAATATTAATAATAATAATAATAATAATAATAATGATAATAATAATAATAATAATAAATAACTATTATTATTATTATTTAAATTTTTGATCCGACGACCTAGTCGTGCGTCGGACGACAGGAGTAAAGGCAGGCCAGGCAGGGGAGGGATGGAGGGGAAATGCTCCCCTTCCCCCCGCTGGTGCCACCACTGGCTATAATACAATTCAACGTTTTGGGTCATCTTACTAAAAGTCGAAACGTTGAATTAAACCCACTTTACACGAGGATTTTTTTTTTATTGAAAGGGCCAGTCAAATTTGACTAATGATCTGTAAGGGTATTGCCTATCCCCGTAAATAGAACCGGGGATATTCTTGGAATGTTGTTAATAGCCTTTGCAGTGAATTTGGATCCTAATTCATTATAGTACATGGTCAGTATATCCTTATTCTGTATGCCCTGCTTGTCTCCATCCCATTTTTTTTCTTTTTTGAAGTACAGTAGGCCTAGTGTTATGTACCCAGAATTAGAATTATTGTTGTCAAGGTCAAAACCGGCTTTTACAGTCTTAATAAAAGGCATTTTTCTTTTCTTTTCCTTTATTTTAAATTAAATTGTTAATACTACACAGAATAAATATAAATAAGTACAGTATAAATAGTCTGTAGTACTGACTTTGATATATTAAGTAAATCAGTGGAGTTGTTGTCATATTTTCTATAGTCAATTTCATTGCTTTTTTACACCATTTTGACTTTATTTCACCATTCTAGCACTCTACAATTGTAGCACTGTGACAGGTCATTAGCCAATTAAAATTCAATTCAATTTAATGGATATCTCTTTCGTAACAGTGGCACACGTTGGACAATACATAACGGTGCATCCAAATATAAGAAGAAAATAATAAACTTAAACTAGGAGTAAATTAAACTAAAATGTATATACAAAGTAAAATTTATCAACATGGCATGTAGGTCTATGTGGTATGGTAGCCTTACAGGACCGATTTACAGAGTTGCTGTATGAATTGCAAGTTAATATAGAGCTAGAACTAATAGACCCAAATGGGTTCATATTTACTACAGTAACACATTTAAAAGGAATAAAATCGGTAATCAGACATAAATCACTAACTAATAAAAACATTACAAGGTATTTATAACAAAATATAGAGCTTAGAACTAACTGATCATAAAGGTTCATATTAACAGATTAAAAGAAAATACAAAAACTATTTAAAGTGTAACGGGTGGTAATGTGGCCATGGGTTTATATTACAAATCTTAATTTCCATGCGCCTTCGAGAAATACCTTACAATAATTATCAAATATTTCTGCTAATTTATGGTTACCGAATTGGTCATTAAGATTATCGAGAAATAAATTATGCTTATAATCTAACGATCCGGTTATAAATGATTCCCAAAATTCACCTAATCCCCATTTAACAAGGTCATTTTTTAAATCATTATAAACCTTTTCTCTAAATGGCTGGATTTTATCACAAATAAATAAAAAATGTCGGTTGTTTCTTTTAAATTTCGGGAGCATAATTTACAAAAACTATTGTTTTGTGTAGACCATGTCTGCTTTTTACCCCGGGTTTAGAGAATTAGTTCGCGTTTTGAATTTTAATTCCTTTGAAATTTATTTTGTCTTGTAGATAGAGTTCAAATATTCTGTCTTTGTATCTAATATACTCTGTTAGTGAACTTTTTAATTTACAATTTTCAAACCATGTTTTAGCTTTATTAATCTTTTTAAATTCTTTCATCCAGCCATTTTGAGGTTCGGTACTGTACATTCTTGAGTGACCATATTTATTTAATATACGGTACCTTTTATTGTATCCAGCCATTTCCATTTTAATGACTGTTCAACATGATTAATTACTTTGAATAAAATTCGAGCCATTTTTTTTCATCCATGTTTTTAAGTCTGTTAAAAAATTGTATTATGAAACTGTTTTGAACTGACTCAAGTGATTGCCCTTTCAATACAGAAGTCTCGTGTAAATTGGGCTTTATGGCCTCCCCCTAAAGTAACGTTCGTTTTATGTTTAAATAATAATCAGTGCATCTGTAAATTATGAGCTGGAGTTATAAATAAATAACACCTAAATTGTCGGAGTAGTTTATATGGTATACGGACATAAACCACCCAGGACATAAACCACCCAGGACATAAACCACCCAATTGGAATATACCATTG